ACGAAAAAATTTCTGTATCATTTCATTATCTGATTTTGTTCTTATCTTACATTTAATTCCTTTCATTGTTCTGATTTTCGCTTATAATGTTTGTTATTTACTTGAAGTTTTCCATAGCAGAGAGCTTTTTTGTCGGAAATAATTAGTAGCAAAATTTTTTCTGAGCAGACGTATGCATAAGAGTGCCTTATAAATGAAATTACAGTATTAAGGTTGGTTATGGTACATAGGACTTAAACTTTTTCATTTTGTATTCTTTTATTTTAACTTTTATTTCGGAAAAAATTTGGCATAGGGAAATTTTAAAATAGTTTGGTAATCAAGTTTTTTAATTTTTAATTTCTACAGTTAGCAGTTGCAGTGATGATTTCGAACTGAGACGGGTGACAACAGAAGTTGTGAGACGCAGTACAAGTGGAATAATGAATGAACAACCTACCAGCTGGGATACTGCTTCAGCAGCTAATGGTAATGTCTCGATTTTAATTGTCTTGGTTCGATAATGTTTAATTCGTCAGCAAATTGATAAATAGCTGCAAATTTTAGAAAGAGAACTATTCATTGAGTCTCAATTAATTTAAGTGCTTCTGAATTGTGTTAGTGGTAGTGGAGGCGTTTTGGGGTTTTCTAATTCTCTTTGCAACTATTTTCAAAACCCTTCATCTTTAATCAAATATCCATTAGTTTTATAAATTACCATAATTTTGTCGAATTCGAAGTTAGTTAAATATTATTTCAAATGCTGAGTTCTAAAAGAGAAAGTCACCGGTGTATGCTGAGCTTTTATTATTTATGATTAAAAGGGAAAAGATTATCGGTATCATTTAACTTAATTTCTCAATAAATTCTGGTAGTTTGAGATCTTGCCAGTAAAACATACAGGATTTATTACTTCGTAGTTTCATTTTAACAATTAGCAATATGGCTTTAATAAATTAAAAAGGAACAAAACTTTAATATTCAGATTTAAAGTGACTCTTATTTTTTACATTTTTCTTTTCCATTCATTTATCTTTTTTTAAATCTGTCACTCTTTTTTCTTGATCCATTTTTTACTGAAATTTGACAGTTTACACGCAGCTCTTGCCATTTATTCATATATGTACGATTTTCTGATTCACCTTTTATATCGTCGGGCTCACTCATTCCTTTAGATTTCTCTGATAATGAGCAAATACAACTATCAACAACAACAGACGCAGGCAGATCTTCAGGGGCAATGAACTTTGTTCAGCAACGATTAGGCGGTAACGCAAAAATTGGAGGAGGAGGAGGAGGAGAAGGAGGGGATGTTTGCGCTATAAGCAGTACACCTTTAAATTTACGATTTACGCAACTACCAGAGACTGCCACAGTAGTATACCCTGGTGGTGCGGGAAATAGCGTTGATATTGTAAAGAAAGGAAATACAAATAGTGATGGATCATTAACCGTTCTAGCGGGAAACGATGTTTTAACACGAAGACCACGGAAAAAGTGGGATGATGTGGCAGTTCTCCCCATTGGGGGTATGTTTCATTTTTGCATGTTTAATTTGAAATTGTTAGCATTCGAGCATTAAAATGAATTACTAAAATGTGATCATTTGGCATACTTTTTCTATAGGAACATACGATTTGTGCGAAAAATATAAGGATTGCAATCTAGGCATGACATTATAGATATTCTTATTATCTTTTTTTGTGGCATAATTCAACTTATTTGGTCGTTTAGATACACCGGACTATGCTTCATCATTGATATCAAATTCATTTGACATACCATCCACTGAAACACACGTCTTCCCGTCATCCACAGAACCGTCATCATCCAAGGAAAATGCATTAAGTGGTTTTATGACTATGAATGGTAATCAAATACAATATTCACCGCGTTCATCTGAGCGAAACATTCATAAAAGTTTGTTAACAAGTTTTTAATGCTTTTCTTTCCTTTATTTTTTTGCATTAATATCTCGGTTGTTTATAGAACAAACAAAATTGCTGCAAAATCTTTGAATGAATTTTTAAACAGGAAATCAAATCCTTGAATTTTTTTCAATCTTTGTATGAAGTACTATCCTTGGTTTGTTTGTCTGTATGTATATAAATTCCAGGTGAAATTTCCTTATTATGTTTCATTTTTATAGAAATACCGAATTCCATATCAGCACCGGGAATTGCTGAGCTGCAGCAACAGGTCTCTTCTACTCCACTCAGTAACACTATGCGAAATAGAGAATCTTCTGAGTCGTGCAGTACATTAGTCAAGGATTCACCCTTCACATTTCCTCAGTCTCCTAGTTCGGCACTTAGTCGGGCTAGCATGAAACGTTGTAGTTTAACAAAACATCTGAAAGGGATCAAAAGCAGTGAGGTCTTTATTTTAAACATTATTTAAAATTAAAATTCTCTTTTTATATTTTAAGAGTCACTGAGTTTTTGCTGACTAATCAACAGTGTCATATTTAAATGTAATTGAGTATGAAAATTTTGAAGATCTTATGTGAAAAACAAAAATTACATAAACTAAGAATGTTTTGAAAATTCCTTGTGATCTGAGGGATTATACATGTTTGCAATTACAGACCGTATGGACGCCACCGCTAATCGGTACAAGGCGATCGGCAAGTAACATGCATTACACTACAGTCTCAGGACGGTCAATTCCAGTAACACGACGAAGTTAGTTGAAATTTACTTAATTCCCTTGAAGCTTATTTTTCCTGAAATATCTTTATTTCTTTCATAATACATGACAGATGGATGGATAGGATTGCATTCATTGTTTAAACGGGTGAACAGTTCTGTAATCCTTATTTTTTCCAAAAATAATTTTTTTTTAGTGTTAAAATTTTATATCTAGTTTTTTTTTTTCAATTCTTAAAATATATTTTGGATAGTTGATTCACAATCCATATTTAAATATTAAGTTTTATGGGGCATGCTGTTGTTACCGTTAATTTTAATTTTATATATATAGCATCAGCACCTTTTGTAGTTATGTGTTTCGTTTTTTTTTTTTTTTAAATTATATTTTGGTGATAGCTTTTGGGAATTCCTATGCACAGCTCTTGATTTACAGTCAGTTTCGGAATCCACATTGGTTTCATTTATGGAAGCCTCACGCTCTTTTGTGAAATTCCTTTTATTGTCGTCATCTGGTGGATAGATAAGTCAAACAGATATATGTAATGTTCCTTATAAACTTACGCAGTGTGTCTCCGTCAATCGTCATCTTCGCTTTCTTGTACATATACTGCCTTGTTGTCCGTGCACTACGCTTTTGTTTTGCTTTCAGAATCCGATTTGCACGTCACTTTGTCGCGTTTACATCAGCAGCAGCAACAAGAACAAGATATTTTAAGTACCACAGCTATAGGTCGGGCTTTAAGTCCACTGGCTCGTTGCCAAGCAATTAATGATGTAATCAAAAATCGACGAATGACAATTTCAGGAGGTTTTGATTCGTTTTAGCAAGCGATACTGTCAGCTAAAGCTACTCACGGCTGAGATTTTGCTGGCATGCTCTCTAGTATTGGTAGTTTGTTACTTTGTAGATTTAGATTTCTGGTTGTAAGAATTGGAAGTTGTGGATGTTGATTTAAATTTATCTAACGTTTTTTAATTTAGAGTGATTTTTTCTACTTTAGCTATATAACAATATGCTGTCCAAATACCGACAATTTTGGTATTTGAAGAGAATATTGTTTTATCGCTATAGTCCGAATAATTCCGCAAAATTCTTTTTCTGCTATGATGTTTTTGGTATTTCAATTGCTGTATTTGCAAGTTTCTCACTGAAGAATGATAACGAACCTTTTTTATAAAGTTCTCCTTTTTTTTTAATACCGCAAAATTTTGGATCTTTCTTTTCCTTGAGCCATTTAAATTAAAATATATCTCCTAAAACGGAGTAAAAAATCTAAAGCAAAAATTCTTATGCGATGACCGACTACTTCATTAGTGTGCAAATTTGCTTAGTATTTTTCGATGTCAATACTAATTGGAAAGTAAACAGTAGAGTAAAATCCGGAATAATAGAGGGCTCTGTTTTCATTTCATTTCATTCCCTTATGTTCCTGTCCGTGATGTTCTCATTTTATTATCGCCACCACCTTTTGTTTACTTTTGAAAAAGTCTATAATTCAGATTAAAGCTTGCAAATTCTGTAGACTAATTATGAGGCTTGAGAATTCCATATTTCTTATTTTGTGTATTTTTTTTTAATAAAGTAGGGTACTGGAGATAGGTAGAAAGCACTTGTGGGTATAAAAGCTTAAAGAATAGAATTGTACAAAGCCGAGATATTTCATACTTTTATTTAAAATCAAAGCTAAAAACACATTATTTATTTTCTTCCAGAAGATGACTACGCCTCATCTGATCTTCATTTACGCAGTCGAAGTCAAAGTCCTTCACAACTTACTCTCAATGTTCTAGGAAACGGGAAACGGCAGCGACAAGTAAAAAATTTTAATTAAAATATTAGATTTAGACTATTTAGTGGCTCGGTTTTGCTTTTCGCTGATAAAATTTTGATTTGTAGAAAATTTTCTAAAGCGCTACATAAGTTTTACAATTTTTTAGGATTCTGATACATCAACATATTCAGTTCTAACCATGGCTTCTTCTCGTTTGACACCGTCATCTTCACGGGCAAATCTTCGAACTGTCACTGTTAACAAGCAGCAGTCATCACAGACGCTGAATCGATTGGCAGGATTGCGTGATAGGTATTTTTATATACATAAACATTGATCAGTTGTGATTTCAAAAACATTTACTGAGCTATACAGAATATATCATCAGTCGATTTTTTCCAGCCTCCTGACTTATTTCGCTGAAGTTTACTATTGTTTAAAATTTAGAAAATTTCAGAAAATTTTCCTTTCCTTAGAAATTTAAAGGCTTTAAAGAAAACGGTTCCATCTCAAATAAAAGCACTCAGCATTTTTGCCAGCTATAATATGTAACTCCCTCTGAACACTTGATTTTTTCAATTCATTACACTGATTTTATAATTCATTTCCGATGTTCACACTTAGTATTCATTTGGCATATCTCTATTTTCCAGCATTTCTGAATATTGAAGTAGAAGTTAGCATAATTGAAAAGTATTGATCATACAGTAATTTATATAAGAATTCAAAAATACTTGGTGTCTTGATAAAATTAAAATTATGGATCATATGATAAGAAACATTAAAATAAATTGATCTGAACATATGAATTATATAAGTAAACGTCGAGGAAAACAAAAAAAAAATTAGATAAGAGGTTGGGATGGCGAAATATGAGTGATGTAATAGATAAATAGCAATGCGAAAATGCAAAAACTATAAACAAACCTATGTAAACTACGTTCTGCCATATATAAACTTCAAATTCAATCCTTGCTATTGATCGGTACTGATGATTTTGAATTTATTGGATCATTTGACATTAACATTAGTTATTACTCAGGTTGCGCAAATCTCAGGAGAATTTGACTGCACCTCTGAGTGATGACGGTTTCTCAGCAGTTTATCCAAATATTATGTCGCGTTCAAAATCATTCGGTAATCTTCGGCTAACAGCTGCTGCACCGCTAAGCGGAAATCGACCTGGACTTAGTTCACTACTTGGTACTAATGGCGATGCTGGTAAATCATATCTGTCACGATTGAATGCTGATACTGCTCCTGTGTAAATAATTTCTAATTTATTTCTAAAGATATTTATCTTAAAATTGAATCCTGCACTAGCTTTCAATAACTGTCAGCGAATAATGAAAACATTTTGGGTGAAGGTATTGTTACTGGCATTATTATTCTATGCTTCTATGCTTTTGCCGTTAAAAAAAAATTCCAGTGAAATTTTTGAGAATGTGCACGAATTTTAATAAATTACTGTTACCCAATATATAGTGTCGGATAAGCTTTCATCTTTCATTTCTTACGGTGGTTTTTTTCTCCATGGCTTCAACGAAATATTCATTTAATAACAGAAGATAGGAATTTGGATAAAAAATCAAGTTTTGCAGTTTCATTTGAGATTGCAAGACGATATTTAAAGTTTGATGATAGCAGGATATATTTTGGCATCAGATTTAATTTGTCGAATCGTTCATCGTTAATCGATGTATGGCATGTATTTTACCTATATCCATAGTTTTCTCGTTTCACAACAAACATTATATAATAATTTTCAGTTGTGCATCCGGGTTGAGCATCCGAAGTCGTTTCATTGCGCGCTCAGTAGGTAATTTATACAATAACCAGGAAAGAAGCGATACATTGACTGATAGCAGTTTTTTGAGTCAAGCAGAAATATCGTTGAGCACAAAAACTGAACGGAATTTGGCAAAAACTATCGAGAATCTGAAGAAAGCGAGGTTTACAGGATTCCATTATTTTCTCTATCTTAAACTGTTGAATTTTAAATTTTTTCATAACTTCCTGCTTCATCTAACATCTATTCCAAACCATTTTTTATAAATTTTCTAGGAAATTTAGAAGGCTTGAGTCGTTTTCTCATTAGCAGAAATCATTTTAGTTATAAACCAGTTTATTACTGCAGTAGAAAGTGAAAACTTTTAAAGCACTTTTAAAGGTTGATTCAAAAAATAATGCTGTAGATCAGCTGAAATATTATTTATTCTATTCAAAAGCAATCTTTTATAGTAACCCGGATCTTTCAAAGTTTGAAGTCGCTGAAACAGCTGAAGTTTTGCATGAGATGGAAAACGAACGAGAGCATTTGTTTCCATTAGCGCTTTCAACACGCAATCAAAAGGGCAAAGGAGCAGTGCAGAAACGAGTTAGCTTTTTTTTCTCCCCGATTTAATACCTTTCTAAACTCTAAACAACTTCATTTGTTGATGTGAAAAATAAAGACAGGTTGGTAATGATTTAGTAATAAGTCCATAGCCTTCTTTTGTGTACATAGGTTGAAAGATATCATCCACGAAATCGGGTATCTCGGGATACAACGAGTGGTGAAAGTGATAGTAATAGTTCGGAAGTTAATGGGTCACAGCTACTACAGGCCGGTGGGACTGTCGGGCAACAGTTTGCTCCGCGACGATACTTTACCACAATTAATGGCACAAGCAGGTTTGAAAATTCAGTTCATTCATGGGTAATTTCCATTTCAACTCTTGAAATATCTGAGTAGAAGGCAAGTTATCGTTTATCCCAGAAGTATATCGTGTGTTGAAAATATGCCGAGGCAAAGCGTTCTTCAAACGCGTCGTATTTTCGAACCGCAGCAGCGACACAGTTCTTCAAATATCCAACGCCGAGTTCCAAGTTATTTAGCTCAGAAACTTGCAAGGTATTTGATTTTCATTATTCAATTTCTTTTATTTAAATTGGTTTTATTTCTGCACATATGTTGGCTTTAGAGGTGCTTCGTTTTACTGAATAAAAGACTTTTTTCTTTTAATCATTTTTCATTTCTCGACTTCTTGACTAATACTTTGTAATTGCAGTGGCGACATAGTGGCGCCAGATGTTGGTAGCGAAGAATATTCACAGCAATCAACATCATCGAGTGAGGTGGTAGCTTTCCAGGATTTTATTGCTAAAACGCATCAATCAAAACGTAAGTGTCTGTTGTTGAATTCAAAAAATCTATTTTTTATCTCATTGTGTTCTATGAAAGGAAGCATATGTTCGATTCCAATAGATTGTTTTATTTTTCTCTGCGGTTCTTCATTTAATGCTCAGAAATGCAGCGCTCTTTTGAGAGGTTTCATGAATGTTGGCATTCTGAAGTTTTTGAAATATTTTATCCGCAACTTTTTCTAGCTGATGAAGAAAAAAGAAATTATCCCTAATTTTCTAGTTAACATTATAACTTATTTTGGAATCTTTGGAAAATTGGAATTTTTTAAGTTATGATTGTACTGTTCAATATTTTTGTGTGACATTCGGCGAATGTCCAGGCACGTTATTTCAAATAAGACACACTTTATTTAGAAATGACTGAAAATGCGTATTAGAAAAGTCTGAAATATTTGAAATGGAATACGCTTAATATTGATGAACACTTTTAATGTTTTAAAATCTCTAACTTAGAAATTCACAAGTGGCTTTAATTTCTATAAAAATTGAAACATGAAAAATTTTGAAGAAATTTGTTGTCCAGAGACGAAAATGAGTCTCATCGTAAAAAACTTTATTTAATCTGATTGTGATTGTTAAGATGTTCAGCATATTTATGGGCACAATCATTCCTCTCATTCCTCTATTTCGTAAGTTGTTTTTGAAGAACGACCTATAGATTTCCAATTTTTATGAGTACAAGTTTTCAAACAAATATATATTATATAATATATAAGAATTGCCTCAATCACTGATGATGAAGACATTTGAGGGGTACGGAGATGGCCTTGACGATAGTATTTACGATATTATTAGCAATAGTATGACGATAATAGTTCTGATAGTATTGTTGTTGAAGTGGTAAAGCTTGAAAGGAATGCGGTAGACAGCCATTACATGAAAATTTCTCGTTTCATTCTCTTGCTCGTTTTTCTGCCCTTACCGTCGGCCAACAACTGAAAAGATAAGCAATAGTCAATTTATTTGCCAAATTCGTCAAATGTTATTCCAAAAAATCTATGGATATCACATCTTACATTTTCAGTACTGTGTTTTAGTAATAAAATTTACATAAATTTTTAACTAATAAATTTTACATTATTATAGTCTGATCAACGAATTCTTTATTAGTGTTTTGCATGTTCTGAGTCGTAAGTTTTTAGAATCTGTACTTTATCCGTATCACATATCTATTACGAAATCGAAAAACTACAAGAATTCGATTTCTTCGAACTTTTTAATTTTAATTTTTAATTCTGAAATTTAGAAATCGAAACTTATTTTATAGTATTTATAGCAACTATTTCACAAATATTTTTGTGATGCTTTTTGATAGCGATCTGCAGAACCGCTTTAATGCTTCAATCGTAATTTGTTTTATCTTATTCTGTTCCAAAAACAGCCAACTCTTGAAAACCAATTATTGTGATAAAAGTTAGAGAATATAGAATTTGTGTATTGGTCTGCTTGTCTTTATATGTAATAATTGCCGTAGTCCATTTGGTGATATATGGTCACAAATATATCAATGGTAGTATTAGCAACTGTATGACCTTTAACTGTACTTGGGACATTCACCAGTCATATGTTTATTTGGAAGGTTTAAACTTATCAATTTGCCGTCTTGTCTGCGGTTGATCGATGATTATTTGTCACCGACAACAATAACCAATAACTATTGCATTTCCTTCACTGCTGTTTTACAACTGTTACTATCGCACTGCATCTTCATTACGGATAACGGTTGGATTTGAAATAGAGGATATTTAAATTGGCATGAAACGACGTAGTGTTACATTTACGGACACTCCACCCGAAGTAATCGATAACGATAACGATAGCTACAACATCTATACTCCTTTGCCAACCGGCAATATTTTTCTTTACCTACAACTGGCAAAAATTGAGAGAAGGCAACGAAGGTATGCTTTAGAGACTCAGCATCAGTTGCATCAGTATCATTATTCTCGTTCCGTACCTAATCTCAACAAGCAACATCATTATTTGTCAGTGGAATCAAAATTTTCTAAATCTCATTTTAATATTAATAGAGGAAAGAACTTTTTCCAACAGAGACAACGAATGGATCCAGTTTATCTATCAATACCAGATCTTGCTATGACTGTACAACCACGTTTAAGAGCAGCAATTGAATCGGTACGTATTTTTAACAAAAATGTTACAAAAATGGATACATCATGGAATTTATATGGTTTATGCAGGAAAGGACGAGGGGAGAAGTTGTTACAATGTCACTATGGATCTGTATCTGATTATTTTCTCAATACACATAGAAATGCAATCGTTTCTAATAATGCTGCCGCAGAATCATCTGTTAAGAATATTATTGACATAGCTTCAGAATCATCTATTAAGGATAATGTTGATCATCGTATTAATAAGAGAAATGATAGTAATAATGATACTGTTACTAGAAGAGGGATTATTCAGCAGTACAAAAGTTCCGTTAGTAATGATAGGAATTGTATCAAAAATGATGCCATTAATAATGCTTCCGATTCAATAGTATGTTATAGCTACACTCATGATAACAGAAATGACAGTAATGTTAACAGTGATGTCGAAAATATCATCAAGAGCAGTGGTAGAGTTAATAATTCTGATAATGATTATGGAAAACTGACTGAGCGATTTCTACAACGTTATAATTACCATTATTTGAATAACTGCAAAAAATTTAATTCTGCCGCAGAGACCGTCAATAACTGGTTTTTGAAAAATGTTGGCTATAATAATGATAATGGAATTAATTGCCGATGTTATTCATTGTTAAACAAACCGTTGCAACGAAAGGATTGTCATCAACGACACCACTCCAGTGATGCTAGAAATATATCCTCTCTCTTCACTTCTACAACCAGCCATAATAGCAAAATGAGAAATGTTATTAGTAAGCATCAGTGGTATTGTTATCCGTCCGTGATGTATTCAAAAACGCAGTTGGTAGATGGTAATCTATTTTTTCTCGATTCTGGTATATCTGTAAAGATCAAATTTCAATAATTTATGGACGGAATATCAAGGATAAGAGCATTAGATTTATATTTCACTACTAGTTATGATAAGAAAAAATGAATTTTCTCGTTCCCTAGTTTATTGATTTGACTCAAGCTTACTTTTATTTAATGTTTGCTGAATTATGACTAAGTCTAATAAAGGAATTATCTATCCTTCTTCGATATAATATACCTGTTGATTTTTCTAATAATGAACAAATTTAATAATTGTTATATTTTCATCGGTAAATTATGCCTTTATTTATTTTAAACTTTTTTTTTGCTTCAGAAATGGCAAAACATATCGCGGAATGTTTAGAGCAATTCAATACGGGTTTGGATAAAGTTTTACAAGCACGTCAACTAGTGAGTATACGGTTTTGTTAATAAATTTTGAATTGGATGGATAATCAAGAATTAGGAGTTAACATTACTGAAGAGATCGGAATTGATGCCGTTCCTGTTGAAGAATTTCGAAATTTTCTAGATCCGAATTTTAATTCTCGCGGTTCTATGTAATCCATCTGGAGATGCTGCAAACAATGTAGTAACTCTATATTAACTTTCCGATTTGGATATTTTACATTATTTTTATCTGTAACCTATTCCTGAGAAGTTGTGTTAAAATGGTGGAGTGCTTTATTTTTAATTCCTTGGTAATGTTGCTTAATTACCAGGGAATTAACTTTTCAGAACTTTCAAAATTTGCTCCGCTAAAAGTCAACAATAAGTTGTACTAGTTTTTTTTCTGTACCGCATACCTGGATTTTACAGTTAGAAACTTCACAAGAATTACCAGTGGATGATCGTGAGACGATGCTACGCTTGCTCAATCAGGCAATGCGAACAAGCCTCAAACGGATGGAATACAACGATGACCGTTATGAACCTGATGGACGGCACAGCGAAAGCCCAAATAGTCTGGGCGGTCAACGACAATGGTATTTCTTCTTTACTAATTTAAAGTGCATATAGTAATAAAGTATATAGTAGAAAAACTTATCAAATGCATACCGTAATTTAATGGGAACAAAATGGAAAATTATGATGTAGGACAATAGCATTGGTATTTTCAAGCTGGTAACATGATATTGATTACTTTTCTGCAGAATTAGTCTTAGCATCTTCATTATTTTTTTCATTAATTCTTAAAGCTGTTTATTGCAGTGCACCAATTCAGCAACTTTGTGGCACCAATGATGGTAATGCCAACTTCCATAACATCACCAATAATGTTGATCCAGCGGAATTTTTCCAACAGCATGGACAACAGCTACTTGCTCTTCTCCAACAAAACATGGCGAAGCAGAATTGAATGAATAAAAACAAAGCAGTGATCACGAACGAATGTTTATGGAAAGAGTTTGATTTCATAATTTCCTAAATTTTTTCCAAAGTTAGATTGAGATATTGTTTGAATACGAACTTCCAAAAAAGGCAAGAGATCTCTGAAATTATATTTATTCTTTAACCACGGTATCGATATTCTTCATCGTTCCTTTTTTTATGTCGAATTATATAATTTTCTAATTTAATGAATATATCGAAATATTTAAGAGAAACTCATTTAACTGTAAATTGCTTAAGCATGTTTTCCTACGAATCGTCGTTATGTATTGTTTTTGATACTTTGTATTATTTACATGTGATGCAATCCATCGTTTCATAGTAATCATCTTATCGTGCCTTGTACTATTTGCAAATCTTTTAAGTTTGTATTTTCTGAAAATGTTTTAAATAATTTATATTGTTTATTGTGCATACAACTCCTAACAAAAACATATTGATTATGTTTTGCTATATGATATTGGTTTAAAGATACAGAAATTGTGTGTTACATCCGATAATATTTATAAATGCCGATGTCGAAAGATGTCTTCAAACTCGTAGTGATTTGTCTTCACATAGTCTTTCTTTTTGCAATTTGAAAGAATATTCATTGTTATTATGATTAGGATGCGGTTTTTATCTTGACTGATATGTAACCTCACTTCTTTATTGAGTTCTTTCTTTTGATATTCACAATTATCTTGAATTTAGCTATGGAAAACTTCCGGAATGGTACATTTGTGCACGCGTTCTACACATGTTTGACAGGTTTTTATTCCCCGTTCGACTTAGGTTTTATACATTGAGCTCTGAGATGTTTAAATTAAGGCTTAGAAATCTTTAAATATCTCAGTTTCACCATTCAGGTGAATATGTCATTGAATTATGATCACATTAGTGCCTGATTGTTTCTCGTTATTTCGCAGCATGTATACGGTCTTCATGTGTAATAGTGCGTTATCTGTAAGAAATTCCCCCTATAATGCATAATTTGAAATGTTTATATTCTTTATGATTTTTATCAAAATTGGTTACTAAAAAACACATATCGTGCGGAATTAAGTAGACACAAGGTGAACATCAGGTTTATATATCTTTTTCTTGAGGAGCAGAAAGCATTAAGCTTTATTTTCTCAGTTAATGAGTCCCCGAGTGATTTCTGATAGGACTTAGTACATTAGGTCACTTTAGGTTATAATTCAACGCTTGCATTTCCAATAATACAAAGTGCTTTTTTGGGATGTTTAATTCCATGTTTTGTGGCCTGTCACAACTGATCTTTCCAGTAAAGAAATCCTCAGTTCATTTCATTTAAACAAAACAAAAAACAAAATTTAAATTTTATAACATTCAAACAAAAAATTTGATTTACATGTTTTACAAATAGTCTTGCATCACAAAGCGTCGCCCAATGTCCTGCGATAAGCTAATATTTTTCATTTCAGCTTAAATTGGTACATTTTTTTCAATGTAAAACTAAAAACCCGGAGGATTCCAATTGATTTGCTTTTTTATTTTCTTCTCTCGATATGTTTCAATAATGTCGTCTTCTTTGAAAACGATTTTTTCATTCGACACAGCAATACCTACTTCTTCGTTTTTGCTTGCCGAATTTACTACCTTAATTCTTTTGACCAGTTTACAGAATCTTCAACTAACAACAGTATGTATCATAGAAATAATCTCGATCCTATCCTGCTCATAAAACAGATTTGATCATCCGAATTCAGTTTTATAATAGAAAAATTACCTGTGTTCCAATGCGCATCGAACGTATGGATCCTTCAAAAATGACAGTCGTATCTCTTAGCACCCGTAACGAATCCGACCTGCAAAAGCAAGTGAAATCGCCTGAATAATCTAAGCTGCTAAAAATGAAGACTTAATTTGAATACTTGATTCAACATTTCAAATAATTTTGCCTAAACCTTACAAATCATAAAATCAACCGACCGGGTATTCTTGAGTGCTTTTAAAAAAAAGGTAAGATTGAGATTTTATGACCGAAATTTGAAAGTATAGAAACCTACTTGTTGATAGTACCCCAGTCTACCAGAGTACCGGCAACCGACTGTTTCTTTCGCTCAACAATCACCGAAAAACATTTTATTACATGTCCTTCGCCGACTTGTTCAAGCATCACTTCTTCCGGAAGGCAATCCGATAAACGGCTTTTTAAATCTTCTACCAAGCGATAAATAACATTGAAGCAATTAATTTCCACGCCTAACTGTTCAGCAACACGTCGCAATCCAGGTGTAACTTGAACATTGAAACAGTAAAGCAGAACTGCAAAACATATTCAAATAGTGCATTGAAATACTTAATATTTATAAAATATCAAGACTCTGATCATTAAGTTTAAGGCACAATTTGGTTATGGCATAACTGAACGCTGTATTATTCTCCATTGACCAGTTTAAATATCATACTTATGCCCAAACTTGACTTCATGAATCAACTTTTTAGCTTAAATCTGTTGCATAAATAAAAGATTACTAAAACAGAACAATTCTCCCTTCAGCTAATGTTCAAAATCATTAAACGCAAATTTCCCTCTAAGAATGCAGACTCTACTCTTGAACCTGTCAGAAAATATTTTGCTGATTCCTGCGTTGGATATGAATTTAAATATAGTGAAAAAGTATATACTTTCAAGATCTTTTGCTAACTTGATATCACTCTCACTGGGTGGTCCAACATCGAATTTCACAAGATCCAATTCAACTTCCTCCGATTTGTAGGTATCAAAAACATTTAGGATGGCTTCAAGGGTTCCATCAACATCAGCGTTGAGCATTAACCTTACGCATGGTTTTTGATTTTTAGTATCCTTCTGATATTTCTGCTGCTGAACAAAATCCTTTGAATACTTCAATTCCCGAACACTCGATAGATATATAAAGATCATAGGTTACTACATCATCATGAATTAGTTCCATTTTCAATAAATGGTGTAACCTACTTTGTGTACGATCAGACGCAATGTAGAGCCGGTACGCATACCAGCATCTAACAACTTACGACGATTTTCTAAATATTCCTTTCTATCTTTCTCAATTCGTTGTTTGGCAGTTTTCTGAAATAAAAATTCTGAAATCAATAAAACTATGAAAAAAAATAAATCAAAATAACTGCTTCTGGTGCTTTTTGCGACTTCATCATAACCAGTACCAGAAATGACTCCACGGAATAGTGCAGCATGACTCACCCAATCTTGTTCCATTTTTTTATTTATTTCCTTCCTCAATCTATAACGAACAACTTGCTGAGCCCTTTGTTCATTTTCCAGTTGCAGAATTCGTTCCCCTGGAGTAGGCAAATTTTCTCGCCAGCCAGCGACAACTACAGGGGTACTTGGGACAGCTTTCGCTAACTCGCGACCAAATTCATCGTGGATTGCACGAACCTACAATATTTTGTAGTTCTATATTGAGTCAATTTAAAGAATCATTACATCAAGGTTAATCTGATAACCAATCTGATAACCATTACGTTTAAAACAAAGTAAAAGCAGCCAAGTGAGAGGGAGAGCAAAAGCATATATGACCCTTTTTTATGTGCAACGAAGTTAATGACAAACTCTAGCCCAAGATGTTCCAGCTACCAGTGCTGCGCCTTTCACAAGAGTCCCACGTTGAACAATCATTGTACAAACCTTGCCAATACCTAAATTATAAGAAAAAAAGATGAAAAAAAAATAAAAAAAATTAAAGAAAAACAAAAATTGCTTTAATTGTTCTGATTAAAGACTTTATTATACTCTCCAAACGTTGAATTGATTTCCAGCAGAATATTACTAGCTAATTAGTTTAGTGTATCCTTCAGTAATGCGCCCCAGATAATGCAAAGCTAACACATCTCTAAATGATAGTCATACATGATATCAGTCAATCGTCAATCATCACTTTAAATCCGCTCGTTACAAAATCGTTTAGCTCAAACTAAACAACAAGAGAAGTGAGGTTTAATACAACATGTTTTCATGAGTATGGAAGTATGTTCAGTCTTGCATCACAACCTTCGTTCCTCCCATCAAATCTCAAATAATAAGCTTCCTAAATAGACAAAACATACCGGGCTGGATTTTTGACTCAATCACAATCCCTTCCACTAATCCATTCCAAGTTGAACGCAAATTCATATCTTCAGCTTGCAGCAAGATTGCTTCCTGAATAATTTTTGTTATTCATAAAATGAAATCTCTTGTCAATAATCACCTTACATTCTAATCGTTTTGTGAAACAAACATCGAAAAAAACGAATGAAGTTAGAAAAGCAATTACCTTCAGTTCATGCACATTTTTACCTTGCAGGGCTGAAATTTCAACACAAAGAACATCACCACCAAGGTCATCCACTAAAATTCCATGTTCCACAAGTGACTGCTTAGCTTTCATCTAAAAATCTTGAAAATTGAAAAAAAAAATTTAATCTGAGTTTGATTGTTCCCTGACTAACCAGAAAAAACTATGAACTCTATAAGCACCCACAGGATTAGCATTAGCTTTATCAATTTTATTGATGGCAACAACGATCGGTACGTTTGCTTGCTTTGCATAACTGAAAAAGTAAAAGGTAACAAATTTTAATCAAGCTTTCATCATGCTATTATTACAAGTTTTAGAGAAAGTGATGAAGAATAATATATCATCTTTAAATCTAATATTTAAATCTTAAATGGAAGAAAAACAGTTGAAAGTATCTAATGATGCATACAAGAAATAGCTCCACTGCTAACATACTTTAACTGCGTTGAACAATTTTGTTACATTAGAGGGAAACTTCTTACTTTATGGACTGTACCGTTTGTTCGTTTACCCCGTCATCAGCAGCAACCACCAGAACGACTATATCAGTTGATTGTGCGCCCCGTTCTCGCATTTTGGCAAATGCCGCATGTCCAGGTGTGTCCAGAAATGTAATCTCACAATCTTTTTCTTTTACTGCAATACAAATAAAAAAAGTTACAGGTTATGTGGTATAATAATGGAATTTCTTATGGTTAGGAATGCACAGAGAAAATATATGGAGAAACTAATCAGAGATCGATAGAATGAATTTAATGTGATTTCACATTGATATCATGCATGTAAGTAATGCTATTAAGGATTTAACAGAAATAAATTTTCACACGTGTAAAAGCGCCGATATGTTGTGTAATGCCACCATATTCGCTTTCTACAATTTGAGAATGCCTTAGACAATCAAGAAGTGTTGTCTTTCCATGATCAACATGTCCCATTATTGTGATTACAGGGGCACGTTTTCTTAATTCATCTTCTGGAGGTAAAGGCCTAGAAGAAAAAAAACCGATAAAGTTTTTTTACTAACAAATGAGTATAAAGAGAATGAGGATCGTAGCTAGGACTAAACTTGAGAATATAAACATCTATTGAAAGTTCCATTAGGTATACAAAAACTTGATATAATGAAGCAAAATGGTGACGAGATATCCTAAATAATGGTAAAACTAACTGTGGAAAAGCATCCAATTCAAAATTATTATCGACAACACTTCGAGGATGTGCTACCAGCTTTGGTTTCAAACCAAAAGCACCAACTACAGTAGTGATACTAGACATATCCAGTACTGGAAAACAAAAAAAATTGGCTTAAGCAACATCTGGTGAAGATAAATATTTGTAACATTTATCAAGAAAAATTGAAGTATGATTTTTGGAAGGAATTACAAATTTAATCTAAGAATCATGTAAATGTAACGTACTTCCATTGTTGCCTCTTGGTGATTTGTTTAAATTTTTCAGCACTTGTAAAATTTCTTCTTCAGAACTTTCTAACACTTTGGCCAATTCTCTAAAAATAAATTACCTCCAATAACAAATAAATAAAGAACAGTAGTGCATTATGTTACAAATCAAAAAGTTGAGAAAAGCAAAATGAAATTAAGAATAGTTCAATATTAACCATTAAAAAATATCATTTAACAAAAACATTTATTAAGAAGTCAAAATTCATTGCTTTACTATGCGTCAAATGCATAATTTCTAATTTCATATCTACGAGCTTCACAAATAAACTTTATTTCATATCAACTTACCCGACTTTCATGTCTTCGTAAATTTCAGCAATCTTCTTCTTACTGGGTGTTTTGCTAACCACAACAGGATCGATAAATTTTCTCCGTTTGCGTTTCACATAATGTTTGGATGATAGTCCGAGAGATCGAACTGAACCACCGAAAAGCCATCGTATACTGTACAGTTGTATTAACTGTCGCATTTTAAAGTAAATTCACTCATTTCTTTGTCATTTCGACTTCCTCCTTTTTTTTCACTGCAAAACATAAAATTGTCCGAAACACAATGTCTTATTTCCATGAAATGCCTTAGTCCTCTCTCCAACAGTCTTGGCCTCAACCTAGCCTCACCTTTTTCTAGCCTAACAGCAATACTCAATATTAACTGCCCAGACGAACTCTCATCTGAACCTTTCGGGCTAACGGGTTGAATGTTAAGTTGCCGAAAATCGCTCGCTAATGTCGGAGATTTGAAAAACAAATTTATTAGAATTGAATAAATTTACAGTTTGAAAGGGATTCAGTCGTTTTGGAAATAAAATTTAGCCTTTCAGTGATTTTAAATTAACGAAGATGGAAATGATGCAATTATAAAAATTTTACAAAAATTGAAATTAAAATGATAAATGACAGGTAAATAAGTTGACAACGTCAGATCTGAAGCTATTGATTACCAATCATTTTAGCATTTTAATTTCAATTTTTGTAAAAGAGAGAGATCAACTGCAATTTATTATCAGATAAACAATTTAATCTTAAAGTAGGTTCCGCTAGCGGTCACTGACAGTTGACCATATGTCAAAAGTATGATCAACAATTCTACGCTGACCATCCTACTACAATTCATTCCATTTAATTTAATTATCATCCACTATTAAATTATCTTTCCGAAAAACAAACAGATAAAAAATGCTTATTGTTGTGAAAGGTATATGTTCATAGCATCATATCATGCAGTGAATTTTACTATTTAGCCTTTTTTTTTGCTTTTTGTTTTAATAAGTACAACTTGAAAATTGTCCTTCAGCTTACTTCCTTTAACAAAAAAAAAGAAAAATTTCCGGATTTTTTTTTTTTTGGGAATTTGTTCCCTAATATTGAACATACAAGAATGTATTGGTCAAGTAGTTGATTGGTTAGTTCTTGAGAATTAGTTTAGTTTAGTTAAGTCCGCCGTACTTTGTGCAAAATTTTTGTTTACTTATCGAAATATCGTGTATATATGACCGGTTTTATTGGTAAATTTCCTATATGATCTTAGTTTGCTTTTGGAAAACAGAACTATAAAGAGGATATGGTTATAGAGAAGTATAGTATAGTTACACAACAAGAAAAGGATATGATTTAGATTAATAGACAGATACGTGTAAACGGTAACCATCATTTAGACAGTTCCTTCTTCCTCAATGAACAACTAACTCCTGTATGTTTATTGACCATTATGACGTCACATTCCCTGTTAGAAAAGGAATGAAAGAATGTAGTGGACAGTACTGGATAGATTAAAATGACAGATCAGAGTTTGAAGAGGCAATCAGGGGTCGGGTCACGACAATAAAACATCGACACTGAAGCTTGAAAATTAACTAATAGCTGTGGTGGCTCTTATTTTCATCCATTTCGTATTGCTGCGAATAATTGTTGCTAATATAATTTCCTCACATGAACCTAATACGACGACAATCACCAAACAATAGCAGGTTAGCTTAATATCTTTTTGTTGTTGTTGTTGTTGAAAAAATTGACACATATTAATTTTGGAATGAAATTTTCAAATTTAGTGAGTTTTTCTCAATTTCCTAGTAATTAAGATGTGATTTCATTCAAAATGATTAAAATTTTGGAACAGTCAATTCATAAAAAAGGCTTGTAAAATTAGCATACTATAATCTTTGGTTTACCTGCTGATAATAACGCTCGTGCATATTTGATAGATCTGCGATTACAGTTTTAAATTTTTTGATAATAATGTATGAGGACAGCACAATAAAGACTAAGGTCTAACTGCTTAATATAAGCAATACTTGTCATATTCGAGATAACACGCTCCGAACAGTAACAACACACATTATATCTGAATAAACTTCCATAATATTTTGTATGACAAATTTGATCAGTAATCAATTTTTTCCGAATGATGTCAACTTACTGCGACAACCGTCTATGTAATACAACGTTATAAAAAATTCTGAAATATGTAGATTGTAAATGAATCAAAATATTTTCCATACTATTTAATATAGTTAAATACTATTTAATAGTGTTACTGTACAAATGAAAGAAATCTCGATGCTTTGTTATACTAATACTTTAATTTCACTTGTGAACTAATATAACTCACAGATAGTTTATATATTTATCAATTAAAAAAAAATTCTTCATATTCAGGACTTTTAGGTTTAATTGTCCAATTTCCTTTCAAATTTCTTATCAATTATAAAAAAAATTCAAAGAAATATTCCTATTCTACAAACTATTTCTTTTTTTTTTCACTTTCATCTACTAATTATTATTATTAGCATATTTCTTTTTTCATTACATAATCGTAGATCAAATTATTGCTTATTTTAGCTGATGATAAAGATTTGGAAATCATTCTTTACAGTTCCCTGATCACGATTCAAAATCATTATTAAAATCTGATTCTGAAAACTATCTCATCACACTACAATTGAAAGCTATCGCTAAAATCGAATGATAACAATAAACCATTTACTGATAATCCGTACATTTAATTTAATTAATTCAAATTTTGTTGATATTCAATTAGTTCCACATACATTTTTTACTTCGCAGCGTCTATTTGTTTTGATTGAAAGAATTAATTGACAAATATATACTCATCCAATAATTTTGTTTACTTTTTCCATACCACAGTTTGAAATACTTTTGTCACACCAAAAATTGATCAAATTATTTAATGCTCCATATTTGTAACATCCGCACATGTATAATGATACTAATGATCTTTTTAGAACATATTAAATTCAAAACTTTAAGGTACCAAAAAAAAAAGAGCAAACAATCTCAAATGCTTGCAGAGAGTTCGTACCATGTATAAATATATTTTTAATATATAATAAGTAATAAACATGAATAAGATAGACAAAGTAATAAATGATCAAATAAATAAATAAATAAATCATTAGATAATAAATTAAATTGAAACATGTCTTGCGTGAATGATGATTTGAAAGTGTATCCTGAAATTAATCTCTTCGTTGGAACCATTTCATTTAATTAATTACTCAAAGCTTGAGATGAAAAGCATACTGTTATGAAACAATTAATATGTCAAACATTTCTTTGTGTATTGGCATTAATATATCAGAAAAGATAAAATACCTAATACGATTTACTTCGCTGTTATTGCCTAAGATGTCAAAATACAATTTTATGGAAATTAATAAGCAGTTATCTGTGAAAACAGTAACTAATCACGCAGGTCAACTCGTGGTGCATCAAAGTATCGCCGTGATCAAATTAATTTGGAGATTCAAAAAATGCGTGACCTTCTTCCGTTAACGGATTCGATGAAAAAACGGCTCTTCCAATTACAAGTAATGTCAATTGCGTGCATACATATCAGAAAACAAAATTACCTACCACATGGTTTGCATTTTTATTTTTGGTAGCATTAAACAACTGTTGCCTATTAGCTTTCATTTGCCTAAACATTTGGTAAAATATGTTTAGCTAAAAATTTGAAATGAAATATAAATATTTTCTGAAATATTAATTCATACTCTTCTGCTTCATCTCTACAATGGATGGATATTTATTTTAAGTTAATTTGAAATAAAATCATTGCTATCGTAATTTTAATTTTTTTACTTAAGTAATTGGAATGAATATACAAACATCATTGAGATCAGCATTAAGACAATCGGAAAGTTTTCGAGCTTTACGAGGCTTCTTTTTGATGATGACAAAGTATGGCAAAATTGTTTACATATCCGATAATGCAAGCGACTATCTTGGTCATTCAGTGGTAATTTTACCCAAATTTTAACTCAGTCTGATTTAAATAATTTATGTGTCCTACTTAGAGTAAGCTTCCGCATGAATGAATTTCAATTTATGAATAATAAATGACATAATGGTTGTACTTAAAGAGATTAGCAATCTTGAAATTCCGGAACTAGAAATCACTCCATTTTTTCTCAACTTGTCTAAATTTAAGGCAGAAATAATGTGCCAAGGTGATTCGGTATACGACATAGTCGATCATCATGATCATGGACGTATACAAGTAGAACTCATGTCTGGTCCATCATCAGTTTCAGATCAAAATTTTTCTTCCAATGAAAGAGTTTTCATTTGTCGGATGAATCTATCACGTACCACAAAACGACAACTTCAATATCATAAGGTGCTTTTAATTTAAATAAAAACGTTAGATTGTGATAAATCATTATATTAAATAATTTTTTATTTTAAAAAGTACTCAGATTTAGGAATGATCTAAAGATTTATCGTAAATTAAGAAATCAATTTAAAAATTAAGCATAATTAAATTCATCCTTTGATAAAGCAAAAATTTAAATTCAAATTTGAATTCAATCGAATTAATAATATAATTTGAATCATTCTTATAGTACATCCTAATGGAAGGTCGTTATCTTCATGCTAGTGATTATTACAACACACATCAATCATTGCCGGCTTCCTTATTCCATACTCAACCGTTGTTTGCCGTTTACTGTGAAATGCTTATCAATCCGGAAAATGTTGAGATGCTATCTGCCGGAAATACATCAATCTTCAGCACCGTACATTCAATGGACTTAAAATTTGTGCATATCGATCATATGTATGTAATAGATTTTTCAATATTTCGATACCAAAATTTTCATTTCGCTGATTTACTAGCATCAAAATGTTCTCATTTAATGAAAATGATTTCTTTCTGATAGCTTTTGTGCGCAACTGTACATTAAATATTATTTTACTGATAACAACATATCACATCAAACGTATAATTCACAAAATTCATCGAATTGTTTAATATGATAATAATATGATGATTTAGGACTGTACACTATTTGGGCTATAAAAATGAAGAATTAATTGGCAAATCGTGGTATCAATTTTTGCATCCCGATCATTTATTTGAAGTTGCTTATAAACATCGTATTTGTAAGCGTAACTTGAATTTCTTTTCTATTTTTTAAAATTAAAAATTTTTAAACTTCCGTTTTTCCATGTTAAAAATTTTAAAAAACAAATTTGAATATCAAAACATATTAATATCATAAATTTAAAAATTTATATATTTGAGTAAGTCAGCGCAAAGATGGTGCCTTAATGTGTTTATTACGATTACAAGCAAAAAATGGTCTATGGCTTTGGTTACATACTGTATTTACCGTAAAGAATGATTTATGCCAACAATCAGAATTTGGAAAAAGAATGCGACATCTCATTTATATTACTTACCAAGTTTTAAAGTGAGTAAATTACATAATTGCACTGTAATTAAATAACCCTTTCCGTTTGAAACGATAAATAATGCTAAATGAATTTTCGCTATTTTACATAACAAAAATTATGATGCATTTGAACAATCGGAATTAAATAAATGAAAATTTATGACTAACATGCGCTACCATTTCTCATTTCAATGAGCGTCATTGCTGTGATACATTGTGATCAAACTTAATTTTTTTTTTATATCATCAATCAACATTCTAATTTTTTTATCAATGAACATTTAATTTTTTTTTTTTGAAATCACATAGGCTCATAAATTTGCTTGCTAATGAATTAATCAAACTTGGTTTTTTGCATTTTATTAAAGATTAATAGATTGCCTTTTTTAAATAAAAGATTGCCTTTTTTAATTTTAATAGATTGCTTTTTTAGTGAAATAGAAGCACTTTCATTGCAAGGTAATTTATGGATTTATGGAATCCGGAATGAATTAATGATAGCATCTTTCGATCGTGTCATCAATGTTCATGAAAATAATTTCATCAAAGAGATGCAAATATCAAAGCAATATGTTCCACCAACACTCGCCTCATTGTTGACAGTCAAAAAAGAGCCATCGCCTGGTGATAACAATGAATTAAATCACTTTGTTAGTTCTCATTCAATGATATTTATCAAACAAATGAATGTAACTCAAAAGTTCATCATAAAAATTTCTTGCGGTGAGAAATACTTTAAAAAATCATGTGAAATCATTTAAAAAAAAGACTTTATTTATTTTTAGAATTCAGATATTAATAATTTGTATATTACGAAATTTTAAATTCATCATCACTACCATAATGTTTGTCACGTAGCTTTGCTTAGATCTGTCCAATTCTGTTTACGAAAAGAAATTAGCTGATGAAATCTTTTCATACAGCTTATGATAATAACGCTATCGCTTCAGGGAGAAAATTTCAAAGAATTGAATAAAAATGAATCAAACATTACTGATTTGGATTTTGGTTTGTCATCGTTATATTTCATTTCTGGAACCTAATAAAATTTACACGATTTTTTAATAGTTGACATTATTACGAAGATTTTTTTTTTCATTTCTTTCTCATATTTTGCACATGCATATTGACAGCTCTCTGTGCTAGTTTTTGAAAGAATTCATGAATTAGATTTACCAAACTGAAATATTCAACATCTGTTTAACTAACTTTGCAAATATACTTCGTGATTTTTCAGGTAATGATGATGAGAGTAGTGAGTTAGAAGCTTTACCAGAACTATGCTTGGAGCGAAATAATATCAAAGGACCGTTACCCGATCTTAGCGGTGATCTGGATAAATTTTTTGAGGAAATGGAACATAGCAAAATGCAATCAATTCATCATCCAATAATGATCAATTTACCGGAAAATGTAAAATGTATTAGCGATCAATTATCACCTACATTACCATTCGATACCTCTTCTTTAAGATCATGCAATCGTAAAATGCCTACAATAGCAAAACTTCTACAAGGACATTTTGATGATGATGATAGCTATGAAAGTATCCGTAAACGAACACGAACGGATGTACCCATCATTCCGTGTTCGAACGTACAACTGATAGATAACTTGGATGTGCAGCTAATTATGTAAATTACAAATCACGTAATAATATAAATTTTAGAAAATTATTGGAGCCATAATAAGAATTATAATTACAGAATTATGCTGATCTAGAAGAAATTCCTCATATTGCATAAAAATCTTGCAGAGCAAAATTTCAGAATATTTACTTACTAAAACATCTAATTCCACAAAAGTTAATGAATTTGTAGTATCGTTTATAGGTATCAACTTATTATCGTAGTAATTATTTTATTTGATAACATTTCACTACTTCGCCTATATTGAATAACTTCGTTGATTGCAAGCAATATTACAATTCATAAGCTAATTTCAAACGTTAAGCCTTAATGATTGCACGATGACTCGTAGAGGGAAGTTTTTTAATTTATAATCTTTAATGCCAAGCTAAATTTCCTTATTCTTTAATGATCTGTTTATCTCATTAAACAACTTGATACAGTTAGTTTCAATTAGTTAGGTTAGGTTGCAAAGTGTAAAAGATTAAAAATTATTAAATTACTGAAATGAAACTGTGCTTTATAAGGTTTTTGAAATTTTTTAAATTTAATTCCCAAAATTTTCTAATCAAATGGAATTAACAGGAAGCATGTATGGTTGTGTAAAAGGATTACTGAATTCATGAAATAATCTATCCATTTTTATTACGAAACTCTTCTAATATCAGTGAATTAATGAGCAAATTCCAGTCTAGCTATCATATCGAATATTAGAGCAATAATGCAGCATTAGATAAAGTTTCAAAAACCCCAAAAGTATTATATATCTTAGCAAAGAATATTTTGTCACATTGAAGTACCTTCAAATATATCAAAACTAGTCAGTTTAGAAATATTCAATCGATAGTTCTGTTTCATAGTTTACACATTGAGAATTATACCTCATATTATTAGTTGTCCAATGATTGTACACAAATATTCTTTTAAAAGTTTACATATACATATACATATAAGTATAAATTGTGTAAATTGAATAAATAGATATTAGATATTTCCAATTAATCAACTAGAGAGGTGCAACATTTCCCTTTGGTAGATTTTTTTTTTCTATTTTTGATTATTCAAATTTAATAAACATCAATGATGTTCAACTATTACTAAATGCATTACTTAAAATATAAGATCTCAACTGATATTTTAATATATTCATGATTTTACTTGCCTAATGAATAAAATATCAAGCGTGTGCATTGAAAGTGCGTGTTTTCAAAAGTTGAACAATTGGAATGATTCGAGATGAGTTGACAGGATTAAATTTTTGAAATTTTAAATCTTTCTTTCAGTAAATCGAACTATTTTATGGTGTACATGTATATTTTTGTTTAATTTTAAATGCTAAAAGTTGGACGTTACAACTACAGTAATAATGATATATATGAGCGGAAATGTCAATTGCATCAGAGTAAAGATGATCAAGCAATTTGTTAAAAATGGACTCAAAAGTGGTCAAGGAATATACAAACAGAAGAAAGCAAGTTATTAAATTAGGTCAATGCATGTAGGTTTTTGTGTTACCCATTGATGATTCTCATATGATATTAGGGAGGATAACTCTTTGAAAACTCTTATGTTCCACACCATTGCATAAATTATATGAATAGTTTCGTTCCTGTCCACCGAAATTTATGAGTTTTGAGATTATTAGAGTTTGACATACGACATAACATCTAATGCAGCATTCTTACTTTGGATCAAAGCTTAACTTTTTTTTAGCATCTAATATTAATAACCAAATTTATGGAAACGTTGCAAAATGCAATCATTCTTCCAATTAAATCATTCATTCAGCTACTTTTTCCATTTGTTATCGTCATACCTCAAATACATTTTTCACGAGGATAATTCAATATTTTCCACTTTTTTCCACTAGTTTTAAATTCTTATTTCTTCCATTTAAAGTATCCTCTGATTTCTTAAAATTGTGATTCAGATTAAATTAAAATTCTGCTGATGTTTGTTACAGAATTTGTGCAAATATTAATTTATTTGCTCAGTTCTTAGCATAGCATGAATTCAAATTTTGCGAGAGATAGATTGTTGAAGTGATTATTTGATATCTTTTCATTGCATTAAACCTGATCAAATTCTTGCTCTGCACTCATTGCATCGCGACATAGATTAATGCAGCATTAGAATATAAAAATAAAAATGATGTCTACTTGTTATATTTAAATATGTTGGAAAGGCCATCAAATATTTAGGTGTTGCGTGAACGATGATTGCATAATAAATTAAGCAACAAAGAACAAAGTTCCTTTTACTTAAATAAATCAGAAGATTCTGAATCCAGGAATCTCAAAGTCATGAAGTTTTTAAACCCTCATAATTTCGATAATTAAATTAACAGTAGCATCTAGCGAGTAAACAAAATACGGAGAGAGTGGACTGCTACCATTTCGTTCAGAGTACCAGTGTTTGAAATCAATGAAGATTAAGGAAAACAGCAAATTAACCTGCGATCAATTTCAATGATTTGAAAGCAAACGAACTATCACCTTAATCAAAATTAATGCAGATTATTGTTAATTATTAATTATGACTGGTCTTCGCTATTCCAAGTCATATCACAGATTGAATGCATTTTTTAAGCCATGAGATAAGAAACACTCCGCATTTTTGGTTTAAATCCCTTATGATAACAGGTATGTGTCATTAACTTCTTTTTTATTGAAGATATGTTTATATTCTACATTATTATCACTCCTAAAATCGAAATTTATTCACCCTTAATGACGTTACATAACGGAAAAAAATATCACGAAAAGATGAATTAGAAACAGTTCAAATTTAACAGATAAAAATGTGAATTATTGCACAGCATTTGCACGGAACATTGCATTAGTAACAGAAAATAATAAATCATTGTTATTTTTTTCTAATCAATTTATCAATCTAAAAATCGTTTCTTGAAACAAGACAAAAGGATATGTTCATTAGGATGACCTCACGTCACTATCCAAATGGCCATCATCATCTGCTCGAGAGAGAAGAGTTCTACGAAATTTGCTCAACCATTATAACAATTGACTTCACCTGATTCTGAATGACTACTACGAATCAGAATACCTCTAACATCTATACCATCGAAAAAAATACTAATACGGCTTAACCAAATAGAGAAAAAATACATGTTCGAAAATAAATAGTAAGAAATGTTACATAAAAGTCAAAATTACACAACAATTCTCCAAACGAAAAAAAAAGTTCGGTGTCAAAGATGAAAGAACTCAAAACATCAGAACATTTCCCTTCGCCTCTTCAATTTTGTCATCGCACGTGATATAACTGCATCACGTCACTTTTCTACAGTTCGTTGCACAGCAAACTGAACATATGCAGGCACATACACACATACACATACACATACACACACAGATATACACACACATATATACAGATACACACATACATACATACCCACACATACATATACACACACATATATATACACACATATACACACATACATATACACACATACATATACACACACACACAGACACATACACACAGACAGACAGACACACACACACACACGCTGCGGTTTCACTATTTATCACGTCCGCATCTTTCTAACATCATCGTCGATCTCATCGTTTAAGATTAAGAATTTACAAGTTTTTTGAATTCCAAAATTCTAAAATAAACTTAATTTGATTACTTCGAACCTGCGAGAAAGTAGGAAAAATATACTCTTAAGATGATTAGATTTTAAGATATACCTGGTATCATGGCAATATCAGATTACATCAGATTTATGAGGGATTAATTTAATAGACCGGTTTTCTAAAAAATAACATAACATACGACATCCATATTTCTCTTCAAATACAGTAATTGTAGTTGCGCATGGAGAGCATATAAAGATTTGGTAACTTTAATGCCATGTTGGATTTTCGGGTAATAATAGAACAATAAAAGGATGGAAATTTTCAAGGGGAAAAATCTTCAACCTGAAGCAACAAAGTAACAGTTAAACATAGATGGACAACAAAAGAAAGATTTTTATTTTTGCTTAAGTACTATTTCTTTTACCGTAATTATGACCTAATTATTTGACAGTTCTCTCAATCTCTGCAACATTATATCTTATAATTCTTATTACTCTTCGACACCTCTTCAATTACTGTACTCTTTTCTGTTCGTTAACTACCGCAGAGAGTTGACTTATCGCTTGCAATACCTCTCACCTGTCAATTGTCCTCATCTCGGTTCCGTTAATCCTCAGCCTCGTCTACAATTACTCAATGACCTCCCATCATCTATCGACCTCCCTTAGCAGTAAAACATCTGAAGGAAATATGCAAATTAGTGGTCTACACTGATATAGGACTCGATAGGTGATAGCGGGCTTATATCACTTGTAAAAGTCGTTGTGAAATTACTGATCTCCTGACAGTATGTTTTTGCAAGAACTAATAATTTACATAGATTATCATTAGCGGGAAGATATCTGTTAGAAGTGAATGATCGTTTTCTTAACTTACTGATAATAGATCATAGTTTGGTATCATTTCCCCACCCTTCTTTTATTTTTCAAATCAGTTTGAATGTAATACCGATGAATTAATGGTTGCTTTCAGGCTCTTCATGTTATTTTGACACACATTAACTAGCTCAATTTGCATATTTGATCACAAGATAGCTTACTTTGTTTTTATGTTTTGCATGCAATTATGACAGCATTTATGCATAACATTTATAAATGTTGTGGGGGAGGAAAAAAAACATTCATTTAAGTGAATCTTAAGCGGTATGAAAAGGATAAGCAGTGTAGGTGTAAGTGTGTATTGAAATGTTTATTGAAAATTCTTCCATTAGGAAAAACTTAGTATCGATTTTTGGTCATTTCAGAACTTACTAATATTTTGACTCGTATTTATGATTCGTCGTTTCATGGCAAAATGTGTTATTTGCAGTTGAATTTATAGTGCCTCGTTATCAGTGATATGTTGCTAAAGTTAAACCCACGTTATGGACTGCTTAGAATCTTGATTAATGGATATCTGTATGTGAACACAATATACCGCGGTGGTGAAGTTCAAATGTATATAGTCGGAATTGTTGTAAAAGTTCAAATTTGAAGGGAAGCTAAAATTTCGATATCAGTTATGGTTACTGCTATTATACGGTGCTTTGAAGGTAGCAGTTGTTGACGATTTTGTTTTCAACACTGCGGCTACTTTTGTACGACAAAATTCAATGGGCGCCTTTCTCGACAAGCCGAAAACTGACAAGAATAATGATCAAGGAGTGGCACATGTAAGCTTGAAATCATTTTTTTTTAGTTGAAACCTAGCGTATTATTTTCTTTTAAACTATTATCTTAAAACTTTGGTATATAGTCTTCTGCTGATCCTTTGATTTGTCCAGATATCTGAATTGCCACATTATTTTATGAGTACGAGACATTAAGGACTAAAACTTTCGAATAACATTCATTTTATTAAGTTCTCTGGATTGCCATATTATCTCAGAAACTTTGGGAATGCCTTTCTTAATTTTAGCTAATATTATTAATATTTATAGCATTTAATTAATGCTTGTTGTAATGACAGCTACGCATATTCATTAAATTATTGTTTCTATTTATTGTACGGCTTTAATTTTTCTGTCAATAATTTTCTACCTCTTTGTATTGCCGTGCATACAAAGACAAAACTTTTTTATGCCTTGTGACGCACATTTATCTATTAAAAAGGCGAAAAAACTCTACATTAAACAATATTTTCAACTGAAATATTTTTCCCACTTCCTATTGCAGGGCACCCGATATGCAGTAGCATCGATGCAAGGTTGGCGTATTGATATGGAAGATGCTCATGTTGTCGAAATTTCAATGTCTTCAGAGCCACCATTTCTTAACTGGTCTTTCTATGCCGTTTTTGATGGACATGCCGGAAATAAAGCTGCTCAACATTCAGCTGAAAATTTGCTAAAGACGTTGCTTGCTACGTCACAATTCGCCCAGGTTTCTGCTTTTCGCCATAGCCTTTTTTTAGAATTCTAATCTGACAATTTAATCATTTATCAATGATAATTTAGAAATTGACCTGTTTCAGTTCTTTTGATGGATGTTATATGTTAAAAATAGGTTTTTTTTTTGAAATTATACAACAGTTTAGTATTTTTGGTGAGATCTCTTTCTTTCAAAAAATGCGGGGAATCCTTTGTTTTGAAAATTAGAAATTATTCAGCACTTTAATGCACAAACTGTGGATTTTCTGCATTAACAAAGAGTTGAATTTAGATAGTGCAGAAGCTGAATCATTCATCAGGAGTAATGGATGCAGCAGCATTGTCACTTCTCGAAGAAGGCATTAAGGAAGGATTTTTAACCTTGGATACTAAACTACGAGAAAGACATGAGACTGATGAGGACAATGAACGTAGCGGTACTACTGCCATATGCGCTATCGTCACCCCATCGCATATTGTCCTCGCGAATCTTGGTATGTTTCGTGCAAAGGATAGGTCTTATAGACTCGATTACTAACTATCTTACATCTGACAGCCGAAATAAATACATTCCATCCACTAGCATCCCTGATTTTGTTGATCTGCAAATTGGCATTATGGAATGTGCTGTGGTTTTCATTGATTGATGACCAGGGTTTCTGTGGTAAGAAGCATTCGCTTTATGAACAAGATTTAACAAGTTATCTCTTTCCACTACATTTTTTTTGGCTTGTTAGACATTGATAAATATTGATATCAGTTACTTTAAGTTCAATATTTTATGCCAATTACCAGTGAGGAACTGTTGTAAAAACAGTCATCCATTTATTTGCACCTTTTAAATGCTATGCAAATTTATTGTCTTATGCATAAATCAGTAAATTGAGTTCTTTATAAGTTATGTATTCATAAGGTGCAAAAGATGTAAGTAAATGAATGACTGTTTTTTGCAACAATTCCCCACTGACAATTGGCATAAAATATTGAACTTAAGATAATTATATCAATGTTTATAAATGTTTAACAAGCCAAAAAAAATGTATGGAAGATATGTTAAATTTGCAAGATAAACTTGTTAAATTTGATAAAAAATTTGATAAACAAGATAAACTTGTTAAATTTGCTAGTTGATTTCCAGGGCATATTTTTGTATTTTATGAATGTTTAGGTGATTCTCGTGCCGTGCTAGCACGGAAAGATCAAGCAGCGTTTGGTACTGAGGATCATAAACCGTTCCTTCCAAAAGAACGCGATCGTATCGTAAATGCTGGTGGTTCTGTGATGATTCAACGTGTCAATGGAAGCTTGGCTGTATCTCGAGCCCTCGGCGATTTTGAATACAAAGCTGTTCCAGGTTTGGATGCAACGAAACAGTTAGTCAGCCCGGAACCAGATATCTATACGATTGTAAGAGATCCGGTAAGGCTACTCTTGGGTAATGAAGAAAACGAAAATTGGTGTATTTTTGATAATTATAATTCTGCTAATGGCATGATTAACAGAAAGTAAATGATATTTATTGAAAGTTTAGATTGGCATTCTAGAAAGTTAATGTCGATCTATACCATTATTAGATAGCACACCGCACTTTGTTGATTTCTTTGAATCTTGTTCATTTTTTTCCCTTGATATTCTGTTTCTCTTTTTGACTTTATTATTTTGTTTTATGAACATAAAAAAACTTTCATTTTAGAAGACAACTATCGGATGTCTTATGTGTGGACTAATTTTTTCAGAAAGTGGATGAGTTCTTGTTGCTTGCTTGTGATGGAGTTTATGATGTCATGGAAAATGCCGAGATTTGTAGTTTTGTAGAATCGCGTCTTCTTGTAACCAGTGATCTCTCTAGCGTTGCAAACCAGGTTGCTTTTTCTGGGAGGAGGAAGATTCTTATATTATGATAGTTATGATCTTTGGAATGGTATTGCTTGATATAGTTTTGGAATATTTGCAGAGATACATCAGATTCAGCTAAATCTGATCAAAAAATATTTTTTCCACTTCATTTTTTTTTCATCTGAAGCGATTTGAAGCTCCATGGTTTCAAAAAATTGTTTGGAAAAGATAGCTGAATTAAGATAGCATAATAAAACTGTTATTGATTTCTTGCTTATTACACTATCGGAAGGAATTTTTGCTTATAAAAGTAATTACAAATTAAATTACATTAAAACTTTTGATTTTTCGTGTAGCGCTTTACAGCGATAAAAAATTTTTTATACTGTTGAATTTATTTTCAGGTGCTGGATGCTTGTTTATCGAAAGGCTCACGAGATAACATGACTATTATACTTGTGTGTTTTGATGCAGCACCAAAAGTTGATCAGGAAGCTGTTAAAAAAGAAGAAGGGTGGAAGCAAAAGATCTTTGAACGAGTGCAAGGTTCTTCTAAACTTCATTTTACATAAAATTATTGTTGTGTTAATTGTACCGATTCCGCTTTTAACGTTTTGCTTTTTATTAAATGGTAACAACTTACAGCGGATATACTGATATATGAATTAGTTTCAATAAGTGAAGCTGCATCATTATATTTATTGATAAACCGTATAAAGTAATAGTAAAAGATTAATGGCATCAAAATATATCATATGCTTGCAACTATAATTTCTTGATCATTTCGATGGCATAATTCCATATAAGTTTTTTTTCCAGAAATTCTCGAAGAGCATGGGAAGCAATCACATGTAGATGCAGAATTTATAATGCGTGAATTAGGCGGAGAAGTGACACAAGCCTGTCCTGCAGGTGTCAGTATCCATGCAGCACGATCAGTGGTTGATAGTATTTTGGCGGAGCGTGAAGCAAAGAGTGAAAAAACGCGTTCAGCTTCATCTTCACCTGGAAGAACTTAATTTTTTGAAAAATTTCTTCAAAGATCGTAATTAAAATTTTATTTAAAGTATATTTGTTTTCAATATCAGAGGTAGATTTGGAAAACACGATTTAGAAGCATTCAGTCGTTATAAATATTTATTGTTGGTTGCCAGAAATATTCTAATATTTAAATGCAGATATTTCATGGATTAGCTACATAAAATTTAAAAAATGCAAACTAAATTTAGTTAAAATTATGAACGATGCGTTTATCAATTTGGATATAAGTAATTTGCTGCAATCATCTACTTTATGCTAAACAAAATCAAATCCAGTGGAATCGTTAGTTTCAATAAGAGACACATAACGTCGGTGGGATCACACGAAGTTTTTTATCTTGATTACTAGGCGTACCATCGTTGTAGAAATATTTCGTTTGACATTTTTTGAAATAATGATTTCTACTACCTTTGTCATATTGGCTATGATATACTTTTTTCTGTTTATTTATGAGCTAAATGTGATCTTTTTGTTGGATTGCATAAGTGTTCTACAATTTGGTAGTTAGAGTAGTTTGTTTGTTATCAATTTACAATTCATAAAGACCTTGCATAGTTTAGTTGAAATTAACGAATGAGAAGTATAAAGTGCATAATACGATTTATTGAGTCCTTTAAGATCATTTGCAAATCCCGCTATGAAAAAGAAAGCGTTCTGATTTTCCAAAGGTTAGATTTTCCTTGTTTTGAGGTGCTTTTTTAAATTCCAGATTCATTTTAACTATTTGTTTAAAAAGTAAGTCAAAATTTGAAAAAACGGTCAGCTTTGTTTACGAATAATAGCAGTCATCGAATGGGTACTACTAGCAACATATGAGGAAGTGTGTGGTTCAATTTAGATTTAGGCATTCTAGCGCAATAGCTTTTAACTGTGGATTAAAATATTTATTTTTACAAATTTGAAAAAAAGATGGAATAAACTACCATCTTGGGAATTCGTGTGCTTAGCAGAAAATTATGCACCTTGTAATTATTAGAATGCATACGATATCTGTTTTGTTTATCTCATTTTTTTAAAAATCTTTCTTCGAAATGAGAAAAACTATTATTATTGGCCTTCATCTGTCCATTTAAATTATTGTTTATTGGATAATTATCTACTGACAGAGAAATTTTCGATTACATTAAGCTCTAATTTGATTCGGTATCAAAAACAAACTTCAAAGGTAAATTGTAAATCGATAAGTGATTAATTTATTATTCAGTGCTATTTTTTTTTGTTATTGCTGTTTTTATCTCAAATCTTTGATCCGTAAGCTAATTTTCGACTTTTAATTTTTAAGAATACATCTGATGCACATATTATTTCTATGACCTATTTTCAACATCAGTTTCACATTTTCTTTTCTTTTTCGGTTTCATGAAATGGAACATATTTTTATATACCATATATGTAGATAATATTTTTTTATGAAAATATTTATTGGTATCTATTTTATACACTTCCTGCATATTGATTCATGAGATGCTTGCATAGGACGTTTTTGATGTGTCTTCAGCGTTGATTGAGAGTGGCATTTAGTGGAGTGTTAGATCTGGCATATTATTTTCCTAGTAATATGCCAAATCTAATATTCTAGCTGAATTTCATAAAAAATCTGGAATATAAGTAATTTATTTTATTGAAAAATCAAATTTTGAAGGAGTTTCTGTTTGATGTGTTGTCAGTGGGAACACTTCCAGTTGGTTAAGCTTCATTGATAGAGCCTTTTACTTTTCAGAATTATTACCATCCTCATTTTTTAAAAAACTGGAAAATTTTATGATTTCTCAATTATTTTTAGTTACCTGTTCGTTTTCTTTTTGATTCTTCTCTCCTACATTGTTTTGCCGGTGCGAAACTTTTTGCATTTAAAAATTTTGTTTTCCGGCTTAAGATTTTAGGCTCTTTTTTTCCTAATTTTGCAATAATATATATTTCCTTCGAACATGAAAGTATATTTAACAATGAGAAGAATTCATTAAAGTTATGGTGAGAGCAATTTCTGAATTCATTTTTTTTTTTCGTTTTGGCTGTGTAGAATATATGAGTGCATTTTAATGTAAAATAAACTGAATTCGTTTTATCAGACAGGAGAAAGAGCACGCTGATAATAATGACAGAATAGGCATTGATTTTTGTTTTTGATGTGAATTTTATGTTTTTGATGATGTGAATTGTATATGTAGATTATCCACTAAAGACGCATTTAAAAATTTAACATCGTTTTTAACAAATTGTTGGTCGTAGCGTTTAGTTAGCATTTTAACTGTAAAATCGGTATCAGCTAAATATTAAGACATTTTAGGATAGATGAACTTTCATATGAAGTTTTCCGGGTTTAAATCGTATAAAATATTTATTTTTAGATGACGGAACTGATAAGAAATGTTATGTTTCTTTATTAATCAAAGAAAAAAAAAGAATAGGTGCAAGGAATGAATATAAGTGAAATAGTAAATAGTGTGTTGTAGCAATAGTTTTCACTAGAAATAACTGCTGTAAAGTTATCCAGAAATTATGAAATGTTTCGAAATGCTAATTCTTTTCTTTAAAAATTGTAGTATGAAAGCTTAGTAAGTTTTGATTTGGTCATGTTTTAAGACTGTGCCACAAAATTATACAATGGATTTTCATCAAGTGCAACTTTGATGAACTTTACTGCTAATAACAGTATTCATTAAATTTCAATAATATTAGTTTTTCTGTACAAATTTGTCAAAGGACTAGCTTTCTGGCTTCTTGGAAGCACTGAATGACATCCAACAGTGACAGTTTGAAGTGCCCGACTGTATTCATAGTACCCTGTTGTCGGATCACACCGGGTCCGTTTCAATACAGCTATCTGAGAAAATTTAATTTTTTCAGAATTTTCGAAGATTATTGAGATTTTTCGATACTTTTCAATTATAAAATGATTATTCGTACTCTTCTTGAGAAAGTCTACGAAAATATCTATCCTTCAAAAATTATTCAAAAGTTTAAAAAACATGAAAAGCTATACGACTTCTTCGAATATCAGTAATTTTACCTGTCGTTTAATTGGCATACAAAATGAGCCTGAACTTCCGCGACTACGACGACATAAACAATGTGCTTCAGAAATAATCTTTGGCTCTCGATTTTCATCATGATTCAATCTAAAATTTAGAAAGCTATTCAATTCAATTTTTAAAGCGTTGAAAGCTTAAATCATCATGAATGAGTTTAAATAAAAAGTGAACGAATTTGAATTCCAGTCTTTTACAAGTGTAAACATATCCACAAATTGCGGGGAAATTGTTCAATATTCTAATTGACTCTAAAATCTTATTAGCAAAATATGAAGAGTATGTTATAAAAATAAGTATCATCAAATAATATAAAAGTTTTTCGAAGAAAAATTTGAAATTAAACGATAAGCAAACTAGAGGATGAATAATCTATTGAGAATATCAATCAGTTATATGCCTATGTTTTCCACTTTATTAAAATTCATTTATTAAAGTGAGAATTCAATGTTACAATAACTAAAGTTATTTGTAAGTAGTTAAATTTTTCCTAACTGTTTATCACATTTATTACCGTTTTGCTAACAGTAAAATTTGATACTCTTTCTGAAAGATCACGAGAATTATGTTTTCATAGCATATTTTATAATTAAAAAAGCGAACTTCCATTGCCATGGACACAGAGATCGTTGCATTGTTGTGGAATTAATGCCTGTTACTGGTTCAGTACTGCAGAAATTTGATTCTGGCACCGGAGGACTCCAATCTTCATCACCAATTTCCAAAATTTCTAATTCAGACGTTTCAGTAAACCATCGAAATAATCTCCAGTTCTAGAAAATTCACAAACATTGCTAGGCTTTTGATTTTTAATTGCAGTTACATTTATGACAGTTATGATTGTTAGTTTAGAAATTATCCTAATTATTGTGATGATATAAATCCCGCCAATATTTTCAGTCTCACAAATAATCATGGTTGTTCAAAATAATCATTCTTGGTGAATTTTTTGAGTTTGTAAATTGATGAATTTTCCGGATAATCTTAAGATTGTAAATTACATATATATAATTTAAAAATCGCAAGGAAATAGATGGAGTAGAAAGAAAAAGTGCGGAGATATATGAAAGATTTTTGCTTATGATCCAATTTTTTTTTCAAATAATTCAAACTTAAATTTTTATCAGTTGACCTATATTTTACGCAAGAAATTAGCAACGAGAACGAATTGTTCGAAATTTTAAATGGTTTTTCTTCTGTTTATTTCATTTTGGTTAAATAATTAATAGTGATGCATTTTAAACTGTCACCTTTCGTCTTCCATTTTCCCTTCAAAAAACCCTACGATATAATTAATGACTCATTCACATAATTGTAAGAGATGCTTTTGAAATTCATTTGCGGATAATTTCTTTGCTATTCAGTTTCAGGAATAATGAGATTTACAAATAGTAGGAATTAAATATGCACCCATTCATTTCTTATATTTAAATTTTAGATGAACGATTTTAACTTTGACTTTCTCAAAATGCAAGTTTACGAAGATTCTAAGGATACTTAATGCAATCTAACCAAAATTAATTTGCTGCATTTTTTACAAATGATCTGTTCGTGCTATTTAATAAAGCTAATGCAATTTAGATTACTTTCAGCGGTGGCGGCATATATTAGTGCAGAATAAAAGGCCTACCTAAAGGCTTTTTAAGTATGTAACTTAACATAGTTGAGTCAAAATTAATCAAATTTACATGAATTAATAATTAGCAATACAAATCAAGTCTGCTTTCTTTGGATTTAGTCAAGCTAATGACAACATATTGAACATACCAAATCAGCAGGTTCCTTACATAAATTTTCAAAACGAATTTTATGATGTCTGGCATCGGTAAATGGAACGTATAATATCAGAAATATTATAAGCAAAAGAGCGATAAATGGCATGGAAAGTTTTAGTAGCCGAAGAATTCGTAGTAAAGGTAATAGGAATTGCATTGGTGGTATTGGCATGATGATACTGTGATATGCCTGATTCTTCTGGAACATCCAAGATTGTCGTCCGTAGTCGAGCGATCCGTATTTCCATTTCTGCGCATCAAGTTCGCCATGTGTCAACTAAAATAACCTCCCACCTGTTTGTCAACTAGTAGGGAGTGGGATGAAATGAATGAGTGGATAGAAATGAAAGGTGGCATGTGACATTACAGCTGCAACACGAGATGATGACCCATTAAAAAAACCAGTGAAAAAATCCCGAGATAAAAGAGCATTTCTGCAGCAAGTTTGTTTGAAAGATTTTTGAACTAAAAAAGGAAAAAAAGTGGAAATTCCAGGTTAAATTTTTAATAAAAATTTATGTTTTTATTTGCTAAAACTTTCCAATCATCGAAATGATATGGCAGTTCTAGTAAGATTACTGGAAAAGAAGACGATAAAAAAAAAAGTTGTTAAACATGTTTCAAACATACGAATACCGATAAAATATCATTGAAATTCTATTAATACATCAGAAAAATCAGTTGATGTATGGTTGGAAATGCAGCGAAAAACATTTTAATTCATTTGAACATTAAAAAAAAATATTAGTATTTAATAGACCGAAAAATAACTAATATTTTTTGGTCTATTAAATGCTAATATTTCGTATAAAAAAAGATTTGACCGGAGAGCATTTGGTAAAATTGGAATGAAGCTTAAACATTAGAAAATTCAATTCGAATAGGACAGGAATATTTTAAAACTCTCAGTAAAATCAAAATCATTTCTGCGATATTTCAAGTCATTCTTAAATCACTGTTCATTTCTGTCGATGAATGAAAATACTATTTTAAATTGACAATAATTCAGCAAAAATTAAACTTTTATTTCATAATCACCGGTGAGATACTAATAATCCAATTTGAACATTGATCATATTCATCTAGATCATTAGGATCAGTATTTAGAATTTGTTGTACCTCTCAATTTTTAATCAAGATTGAGCCAGAAAGTCAAACAAGATCGAAATGGAAGTTTTGATAGATTTAATAACAAACTAGGAACATTTCGGGGCCTATCTTTTGTCTTGAATCAAAACTATCCAGTAACTTATTACATCATATCTTTTATTGATAATGCGATTGTGTTAGTTTCTAAAAGAATTACACGATTCAAGTGCTTAAATTTGTGTCGGAAATAATTCTAAATAACTGAAATAGATCAGTGATTGCAGGAAAGTAATTTCAAGTTTTGCAGCATCGTGGAATTCAAACTGCAAAACTTATTATCCATATTAATGATATCATTTCTGAATCCGCGCACTACTATTATCAATCATTTTTGATATCAAGTTGTTTGATACAAAATTCATTACATCGTACCTTTATATCAATACACGTTTGCGCATGCTTTTGTTTTTCTAATTTTTTTTTGCCTGAAATTATTAAAACCCTGCGGGTCTAAAATTCAGAAATCAGACGGCCTTGAAAGAGTGCAGAAGAGTACCGTGTGCGTACTATTATGTGCGTACAATATTTCTTTGCCAAATTTTTGCTATAAATATCAAATTTTATTTTTTAAATTAACAAATGTATCGAAAAAATACACTACCGTATAAGCACCGTTCTTCTCTTTCCATTCTACAGTGATTTAATTAAATTTAGACCAAATTAAATCGACAGTGCTTAATTTTTTTAGAGGAAATTGGATATCAACATGAATTTAACAATGTATAAAAATAACCGAGAATTAATGCAATGTTTCTTGTTATGCTTAATATAAAATAAATTTTAATCAAAAAAAAAAATGTCCAGATTAAGCAACTAAAAAAATTTTTTGAAATGCGAAAAAAAATTGAACAATAAAAAAACATTTGAAAGGGATTCTATGACCAAACGATAACAAATGGTATGATCACTGCTTGATAACGATGACAATAATGACAACGACGTGTCAATTTACAATCAAATCAATATTGATTCAGTTCTTTATCTGATAAGGATGTTTCATGTATTCATAACTCAAACGATCAGAGTGTTAACATTTATTTAAATCATTCTAACTTCATTCTCTTTTCCAGTTAACTGTTGATCGGGTAATTTCATCAGTTTTGAATTTTACAAAAATCACTAAAATTGACACGGTACACGTACGTACCTTACCTTATAGAAGAGGGAGAAGAAGAAGGAGAAGTGAAACAGAACAATTCATTCAATTATTGCCTTTCTCGTTACAGATATTTTCCGATCACTTTCTCAAAGACTGATTAAATCGATCAAAACTTCTGCATTTAATACTCTCCGAAGCCCCGTAAATTAATGTAAATTTCAAACCTACTCTCGATCACTCACCATCCGTATCAATCCCTGTTACATCTCACAACCTGGATACTCTTTTCCATTCCCTTCCTCTCTCATTGCATCATTCAATCATTTGTCGATTTGACGATTTCGGAATGGAAGAGTTTGGTACTGGAGGCAGCCGCAAAATACCATATTAATGATGTTAGAAATACTGAGTGATCAGGAAGAGATCACTGGAGGGATAAGTTAAGGTCACTTCGGGTCTTACTTGTAGTGATTTGACTCAACTTCCATTCCAGTTGAGTTTCAGCTCACAGTGATGTTTATTTTTGATTATTCAAAATTATTTACAAACCCGACAATTCTTATTCATTGATAGCGAATTCTTACATTTTGTTTATTATTGTAAATTATGTGTTCCATAACCAACGTATCATAAACTGACGTGATTTAAGGCATGAAAGAATGGAAAGTTATAATTGCTAGATTCTTATCAAGCATTCATTACAAATCACTTTGTATGATTTTGCATGCACTGAAAAAGCCTTATGATATCATCCATCCCATAAAATCAGTAAATTGTCAACGGTTTGAATCATTTTCCATTAATCACTTAACAAATTATGTTTGTTTGTACAAATTATGATCGTTTGTAATCTTCCGATAACTTATGTGAATTGACAAAAATGGTCAGGAAAAATTATATCAAATTCTTCGTGACCATCTTTGTTGGTTCTCATTAAATTAAGGATGAAATTAACAATCACAGTGCGACACGTTGAGCCATTTTCCTCGTTTTATGGAAGTTAGATAATTCGTTCTAGCAAAGATGAGGAATTTTTTTTTTTTGAGATTTTGCTATATTCAATTTTTGAAGAAATTTTGATCTTACGTTTGAAGTGGGAAAAACTATTGAATGCTTTGTGATAAAAAATGCTATTGCACTTCAGGTCGATGTACAAAGTTGGCTGTCAGACTGTAGAAGATGATTCTGTAGTATGTGAGAGCATCGAAGAACTGTCGATTTGCAAAGCGAAGATGAAATCTAATGGTGATGCGACAGTTAAATTCGATGTTGATCAAGAAGTTAAGGAAGGATCAGAGCTATCATCGAGGCAGGTTAGGTCCAATTTTATATCTTTTGATTCGATAAAATTCCTAACATTTTATTTAGCTATATTTTATATTTTATGTGGTTTTTGTAGCAATTCTCAGCTTGGTCACACATTTTTGTTTTTCTTCCTTATATTTGATTACTTTCAAGCCCTTTTTTTGCTGTGATAATCAAATTATTCGATTTTTAAAAAAATGTTTGCTTTTTTAGCTGATTTTCTTTGGTCAATGAAATTTACGTAAATTTTCCTTCACTACCAAAGTGCGCTTTCTTGTAATCTTCTTCGTTGATGTTGAAATTTGAATGCTTACCAGCAGATTTAGAATCATTGTAAAATATCAATTGGTAGAGCAGTTAATATATTTTTTTTTTGCTATTGCGTGTTTCTCTTATCTTGTAACAAACGTTAGAAGTGATTAAAACCTTTTTAGTTGTAAGTAAATTTTGTTTCCTTTTAGTTTTTTTTACCTTATTTTGTTAGTTTTCTAACTTTCTTGATTTGCAATAGCTCTTTTGTAAATTTGGACTTCGAATTTGACTTTTTGGTAATTAATTCTGATTTATATAAAGCGGATATTTCTGCTAGCCTATTTTCTAGTATTTTTGGAATGAAATCAGAGATTTTTTTCAAATATTTATAGCATTTTTACCGTATTTTGTTAGTTTTTCTAACTTACTTCGGCATAATTTAGTGAGCTTAAAATTTGTTTTTAAAATTAGTTGATGAACTTTAACTCATGACTGCAAATATAATGAGATTTTAAATCGAGAAAGAGATTTTTTATTGTTACATTGAATGTTTTTTGTTTTTTAGGATAACGATGAAGTCGATGGCGGTGATGAAAATATCGTGGATGAAGAAAACAGTGATCAGGCGGGACTTCAACCAAGTAGCGGTGATGATGAGGACGCGGTGGTGATGGAAGAGGATGCACCTGGTCCTTCAAACTTTTATGGTACAGGTAATATCTAATTTTTGAAAAGCAGACAATTGTAAGGTAGAAATTTTTTAAAGTAATCCACATAGAATAATCGAATCTTTTTTAGATCATGCAGCATTCCATCTACCGACAAATCTTGAAATTCGTGAAGGTGTCGACTATCAATGTCCGGTACAGGATTGGACAATAGAAGATGATTATTACGATGAAGCAGAACGTGAAACTTGCCTTTGGCGACCTACAAATCTCTTGGAAGTTGTTGACATCAACGATTATCTTTCTATTGCACTTTCAAGCTTCAATATTGAACAAGATCGGGTATATTTCTGTAAACAACTTTTACAAACTAATTAAAAATTTTCTCTTTGAGTTATTCATCTGTTGATATTGTGCTGTTTATATTATTTTACTTCGGTACTTTAGACAAAAATCACTCTTGAAATAGTTTTGAATTAAGGATTTGTTGTTTAATGATAAAAATAACTATCATTGATATGGTTGAGTATTGTCGGACGACAGCATGTGTATTTAAAGTATATACTGTTTGATTTGAAACCATATCTAATTAAAAGATCAAGAGAATAGATATAGCTGATGACAAGATAGACGAACAATCGCATATACTCAGATATCAGTGAGAAATTCACTGTACTGAATAAATTTGTCTCTCATGACAATAAATGATTGAAAACATGTATGTTTTGTTTTTTTTCCTACATCTTTTTATCTTCATAAATGTGATGTACTCTCTTTCTCATAGCTTCAGGCAATGTTCATCTTGCAATCATCAGATTATAATATCGAAGAAGCTAAACATCAACTCGCTAAACGACGAATCAAAAAAGAACCGTGGAGTGAAGAAGACATAACTATTTTTAAGCAAGCACTGCAAACATATGGCAAACATTTTAATAAAATCAAACAGTTGGTTTGTTATTTACTGAATATATAAATTTTCTTAGCTTCTTTTTAGGGGTTTTCATAAAGTTAAAGTAGATACGCGGAAATTGAAAGTGTTGAACACGTTTTATTTAGAATAATTTTCCAAAGTATTCTGGAAGAAAAAACAGGATTTGAGTTATGTTCTGCATTGCAGGCTATTTGATATCCGGTAGCGTTATATTTAGATTCCAGACAAGCCGGCACTTTAAAAACTAAGAAAGTTTGTAGTTTATCAGATTTGGGATCTGTATAATTCTTAAATAAATTTTAGTTGCCACATAAATCCATAAAGGAAATTATTAATTTCTATTACGACAATAAGAAGAAACTAAATTTTCGAAGTATTATTGATACCTTTTTGGAAGAACACAATCCTGAATCCAGGTAGCTGCTTTTTGTCGCACTCATTTCTTATTTGACCATCTCTACCAAAATTAGGATGTCACTAACAGTGAGGAATAGCAAATGAACTAATAGCAAATGAAGGAAGCAAATTGAAGAATTCCGAGAAATGGTAAAGTAAAAAAAAAACGTTTAGTCAAATTTTTCTTTGCAGAAGTCGTTTGAAATATTTTGCTTCCGACTCTAACTTTTACATAAATCAACATCTATATTTAGTTTAGAATAAGCTAACAATAAATATGAGGAAAATAACTTTTAGTTTTTGTTATGTAAAACTACAATTTTTTTGTAGTAGTTCTGAAGACGGTGACCTGAACGCTATAGAAAAGCGAGGCAGTCGATGTTACAACTGCGAACAGACCGTAAATTTGCGTCATATGGGTGATTTAAAACTTTGCAACGCATGTTTTATTCATTTTAGGTATCCAATACTAATTTAAGTCTTTTGAAAATGTTTTTTTACTTACAAATTGTCTTGCATTGGTGACTACTTTTGATCTTGCATATGTCCACATTAATGTTGAAGATTTTGAGAAAATTGAAATATTATCTTTTATGAAGTATATGTAAATCCGCAAGTTTTTGCAGAAATTATCACCGTCACAGGCTATGTCTAAAACCAATGGGTTTTGATGGAAACACCAACGAAATTATGAAATGTCCTAAAGGTGATATTTCGAAAGCATTTTTAAAGTCTCAAAATTTGGACTAGCGTGGAAATTTTATTTTCTTGTTTACTAGATAAAATATTAATTGCAGCATTTCTATTCTAGGTATAACGGAAGTGGTGGAACGATTTGTGGAATTTGCAACTGAGGAAGAGGATGTTGCACAATCATCATCATTAAAGAAAAGCGTTGATGAAGTGGAAAGTGATGACGATTTGCAAATTGTTAGTGTTATTCGACCACCGGAACTGCGATACACTCGGATCTTAAAGCATGCTTTCTATGATTTGCTGGAATTTTTAAGAATTTCTTACCTCATTTTCAAGTTATTTTGGTATTTCACAGATATTGTCATCAATTTTTAATGAATAAGAACAAATGTACCTTATTTATATCTTATGTTTTGGACAAAAATCCTCATTTCGCGAACACTTTTTTTTCAGTTGTGAGAATCTCATTCATTGATTGAATTATGAAGAATGGTTTGACAGCTCGCATCATGAGACTGTACCGGAAAGAATATAGACATTTAAGTATTCAACATTAGAAGATGCATTTATCTGAATGAGTAGGCTGTCTTAATATAACTTTTTAAAATTATTTTTTATGCTTTAGACAGCTGGAACGAGAAGAAATGCTTGCAAGAGGAAACTGCGTACGACTGGAGCATAGATTACGAATGCAGTTTGAAAAAAATTTAAATGAACGTTGGTTTACAGATATTTAAAAAATGAAACATTGATTAACAGGCATTTAAATTTTATTATAAATTGTATGCTAAGATAAATAAGGAATTTGCTTCGAATGGAGATTAAAAAATTTTGTTTGATCTAGTAATATTTTAGATTTGGAACGTTATCGAGTTAGTCGACTTCCGTCATCTACAGCTTCTAGTCGTCCTCGACGTTCTCCATCATGGTCCTACAAAGAAAAGTGGCAAGCGTTGTTTGGTAAGTATCACTTCTAAATGTATAAAGCAAATCAGATTTAGAAAAATACATTTTCTTTCTTTAATCTTTACAATTTAGAAATATTTAAAATTTTTACGTAATAATGCTGGATGTTTAGTAACGGTCGGTGCGTTTGTGCCAGATATTTCTCCTCACTCTTTTTACTTATAATATTTTGATTTGAAAAGACAAATTTGAAATGTTTCAGAAGTTTTCTTGAATTTTTATACCGTTTTTTTTTTTTCATCAGCATTTCAACGATATGGGAAGGATTTTGATGCTGTTGCGGAAGTGCTAGAAAGTAAAACGCCAGATATGGTGAAGGCTTTTTATTATGAAATGCGAGAAGAAATTGATGATGTGAGCTTTCATATCTCTTTCCACTCAATTTTACTGTTAATTACATTTTAATGACATATTTACCTTCAAAATCATGGTGAGTTCACAGCTTTACGCTATCCATTAAATATTTTTGAGTAGAATTTTGGGATTTCAATATTTACTTCTGAACAGATTCTAAGATTATTTTTTCAACATATAAGGAAATCAACCAGATAACACAAGAGAGACAAAAGAGCGTTATAAAAAATAAATCAAAAGAATGGAATATAACACTGTAAACAGCGGATGTAACTCTGAAATGTTTCGGCCATATAAAAGTGTTGACTGTTATTATCATAATAATGTTATTAATTTTCAATTTAGCAAAAAAACTGCCATGTAAGTAATAACCATTAGTCTTCTTATCAATGTTAAGCTAATGGAGAAATTTATGTTTTATGATAATTGCTTTATAAAACATATAAATTGTAATCAAAAACGCCTTGAATTTTAGATGATCAGCAAAACCAATGACTACTATCGCAAGTTAGCAAATACTTATGAATTTGATCGAAAAACTGAAGTTGATGCATCAAACGAAGTTATTGATATCGAATAGAAGTCCTACATTTTCTTTTCCTTAAAAGTGAAAGTCGTGATTAACTCTTTTAATTTCTGGCATAGCAGTGTCTTTAAATTATAAACTCTCAACATATCAGAAACTCTGTTCAGCACTGAGTCGCTTGGTTGTTAATTGTAAAGTGATTTGATTTTGAATATTGAACCTTTTGTAGTTTATTGAGATCTAGAAATGAATTTTTTTTCCAAAATATTAAGATTCTCAGTTTGCTCAGTGTTTGCTATTTTAAATAACTTTATTCTTATTAATTCTAATTTTTTTTTCGAATTTTTGTAAAATACTTAAACAGATGAATGAAATAGCAGTAAAACTTATGAAGTCAAATGTGTCTTTTATTTTTATTCTTTTAGTTTCTTAAATAATAATTTTGATAAAACATTTTCATCCCAGCTGTTGATTATTTCAATTAAGCCGGACATCAGCAACATAACTCTTTTAAATTTCAAAAGGTCATTGAGATCAGAATACGCTAACTTAATGCTTTATTTGTGAATTAAATATTCAAATTAAAATGAAAATTTGAATCTAAAAAAAAAATTAAACACCAAAAAATGTTATTGCGGACTCGGTATTTTTCAACTTTGGAATTAAATGTTATAGAGATTAGATATTCAAAATAATTTGAAGATAATATAATGAGGAAATAGAAGATTGACACGCATTCATCGGCTGGCATTGAGAACATATAAGATCATATGTGTCATATAATCGTTTCAAAACAATGTAATAACTTTTGGCATATCATATATTATTATTCATTTGAAAATCTGTTACCTGGGTTATTGTAAGAATTGAAAATTATTCTAGAATCATTTATAAATCTCGAATTTTGATCTTGCTTGTATCTTACCAATTATTGATTTAACATTTAAATATAAAAGGTAATTTTTCAAGGAGAAATATCTCAACAAGTTTAAATTTCAATATTAAATATGTTTGTGAAAGTAATCTTAATTCTTCCCAAAAAAAATTTGCAATCATTTCATTTCTCATCATTCATTTGCTTTTTAATAGCTTACTTCAAATTTATTCCCCTTGAAATTAACTTTTTTCACAATGACATATCATAAATTTTGAAATTTTTGAAAAAATTTTCATACATCAATGTATAAAAGAAGAAATATCTCGTTTATTTAAACAAAATTTTAAAAGTTCATATTAGTAAGATATGTCAGTTAATGATTAGTTCCTGTTGCCAATATGGAGTTGAAAGTAAAGAAAAAAGGCGGAGCAGCAACAGATAACATTCATTTCGTTCTTTCCCATTTCTCAATTTGCTAGTTGCCAGTAGTGAAGTTGAACAA